TTTTAGTTCTTATCCCCAATAGTTATGACTAGACAATATTCTAGGGCCCTATTTAAGACCTTATTTTATTTAACACTCTTAGATATGGCTCATTGTTGAATCTGAAAAGTGAACTCCTAGGTTTATGAACTATGGAGTTTAAAGACCTGTAGAGATCATCATAAATCCATTATCTGTCTAGTTTAGTGGTTTTTTATTTTTAACTTCTTATAACTTTGTGGGAGAAGGAATTCCTAAGCAGTGAAACAGTTTGGGGTGAAAGACCAAAGGGTATATGAGAAGCAGAAGTATTGTTATGTAACAATGATGTATCTGTTTTATAGAAAGATAGATGTCATGGTAGGTGTAGTAGGGTATACATATGATCCTAGCATTCTGGCAGGAGGATCTTAAGTTTGAGGTCAGCTTGGGCAGTTTAGAAAAACTCTTGTCTCAGACAAACAAATGAGTGGTGTGAGGTGGACAGCCATTTCTCTCAGAGAAACATCAGAAATAAGAAGAGATGAATACAGACAGACAGAGCTCTGTTTTGTATAGAATTCTTTTTTTATTTTTTTAATTTATTTATTTATTAAAGATTTCTGTCTCTTCCCCGCCACCGCCTCCCATTTCCTTCCCCCTCCCCCAATCAAGTCCCCCTCCCTCCTCAGCCCGAAGAGCAATCAGGGTTCCTTGCCCTGTGGAAAGTCCAAGGAACCCCCACCTCCATCCAGTTCTAGTAAGGTGAGCATCCAAACTGCCTAGGCTCCTACAAAGCCAGTATGTGCAGTAGGATCAGAAACCCATTGCCATTGTTCTTGAGTTCTCAGTAGTCCTCATTGTCTGCTATGTTCAGCGAGTCCGGTTTTATCCCAGGCTTTTTCAGGCCCAGGCCAGTTCTAAAACACACATATACCATAGAGGAGATAGGCAATTCAACCAATCCAGAGGAGTGACCCCCTAAGTGTCTCCACAAAACATTAGAACTCTGGAATACAGTTTGAAGTTTTGAGAACCTTGAGAGATTGATGAGTTTTGATTTTTATTTTTTTGTTTTGTTTTTGTCTCTAAAATACCATGCTGGCACTAAACAGTAAATAGTTTTGATTTTTTGAGGACATTGTAGGGATGGTTGCAACTGTTTATACTCAGTCATAATGGCTGGAAGGCAGCTGTCAACACTTTGTGGCCTGGCATAGTAGTGGCCATTTTGCTTTGCTGGTTCCTGAACTTCCCCTCTGCATTTGTTTGCTAACAAACCGAGACTCTGAGGCAGAGAATGGGGAAGTTGTCATTCTTAGCCTACTGAGGACTAGAACTGAAGTCTCCTCATTGCCTCTGTGTTCCTTTATCTTTCACTGTGCTGTCAAGTAGAGGTTTTCATGTGTATATATGATAGGAAATGGGATGTGAAGAAAGAGGAGACAAGGTCTTTTGTTTCTTCATTTAAGGGTCTTTGTTAGAAGCAACGTATTTCTTTGTCATAAAATAGAAGCCCTCTCCCCGCAAACAATAGCATTTTCAAGAAAATATTGTTATTGTAGATACTCAATGATTCCTTCTAATTGTATCTTCAATAAACAGTTTTGCTCTATACATTTACACTTAGTTCTTTCTTTGCATAAACTATTTGAAGCCTAGTGTTTATCTGATTATTTTTTATTAAATGATGTTATCCTCTGGGTCGGTCACCAAGACAATGAAAAGCACATTAAGGTTTTTGTGATGAACATTCACAACTGAGACCATTAGAACCTGTCTGACTTGGTAATGACTTTTTTCCCTAAAGAAGGAAAACAAAACAAAACACCAAGGACGTTTTATAGCAGATGCTCTTCCAAGCACTTTCCGTGTTATCTCATTTGATCCTGATAAAGGAACAGGCTACATTATTGCTGTATCTATATTATTGACTAATGACTAATAAAGGCTTGGGAGAAATCAAAACTAAAGGTCAGAGAGATTTAAGCACCTTTTCCTTAAGTTGCAGAGATCTTAAATGAGAATGCTAGGATAGGGGCTCAGGCATTATGAGAACTTAGGACATTAGATTGCTACTACCTGTATGTTCTTTACATAAGAAATAAGCAGCAATATTTCCAATGGCCTTGAAAGATAAAATTGGGGGGGGTCTACTGTTGCAATTAGTAATCTAATAATTGAGGAGCTTAACAGCATAGATAACTGTAAGAGAGAGGCAGAGCAGACAAGCGACGTCACTATGATGAAGGTAAGAGTAAGATAAATAAAAGCTAGGATAGTAATGAAGGTAAAGCGCATGGATTGTGGTACTTAGAGATGAGCTACAAAATGTGGAGTATGTAACTTAGAAGATGGCTGAGTTAGTAAATTACATTAATAAAGCCCTGCATGGGCAGCATTCAAGAATTGTCACTTTCCATTGTGACATACCTAGAGGTTAAGTGCTTCCCAGGTGCTTGTGGTGTTTATGGTGTTTGGTATAATCTTCCCTTGACAGGGAGAAAGAGAGGTATGACAGCAATAATGGTCTTTATTTTTCTTAACTTGCTCTGCAGAATTGGTCTAAACTATATGCCTGTTTTCACTAAACTCAGAGAACATCCTCATCCCATGCTGGTTTTCTCATTCAGGGGGTTGGCTTAGTGACTCCTCTTTCTGGGAGTGCTTTTCATAGGATATTTACTTTTCCTTTTTGAGAAAGGCAGGGCATAGGGAGATTGGCGTGATGCTGGGTTGCTTGCTTTTCAGTTTTTCAGAGCTCACATTGCTGTATTTCACTATCAAGGCAAGAACGGCATGCTGTCTATGTTTAATTGCCTTTAAGTATAACTGCTGTAAGCCTTCGTAATTATAGTTCACATTCTCTACATTAGCATAGAACTGCTCCCTTAGGATTTTCAGCATGATTCACAAATAATGCATTCAACTCTAAATAGCTCAGGAACATTATGGAACCCCAAAGGTGAAGGATAAAGAACGATCCCCCCCCCCTTCAGTACCGAATGCCTAGCAAATAGCAAGGCAGAGGCTTCCCTGCCCCAAATGTCTTGCTCATGCTAGTCCAAAAAGGAACGTTTAAGCATATTGAGAGGCAGGATATGATGACTTCTTTGTTTATTTTATATCCTAGGAAATGATCTTAAATAGCAAAACATCTAGACTTAAATCTGCGTCTGTTGGATTGCATGCAGTGCTAGATTGAATGAGGCCTGTCTTGGAAGGAAATGTCAATAAAACACTGAAACAGTTTACCAAGTTTTGCCTTCTGATGGCCAAAGGAGATGCATAGGTCTGGAGTCAGGAAGATAGAAGATGGGTTTCCTGCCCCACGGAAAAAGCTCAGGAATTCAAACACGGAAAGAGGACAATTTGAAACAAATATTGTTTCCCCAGCAGAGCAGAATTGTGATGGAGACTCATTGCCATGAAGGAGATAACTGGTTTCGGCACTGAGAAGTCTGATGGGTCCTGTTGGCTTCATCAAAGCCATGTGGACAATGTTGGTACAATGAGCAACTTGTTATATTGCAGCTACCCACTGAAGTCACTCGAGGCTTAGGAATTACCCACAGTCAAATGACTGGATTTAGTGTTTTAGTACAGGTTAGCAATAATACTTTAACTCTTAATCTTAGGGGTGAAGATTATCCTCGAAGGGAATGGTAATGGCAGCTGTCCCTCACTTGGGAGGATTTCTATTTTAGAAAGAGGCTACAAGTTGGTCTCCTAAGATTGGCTGATGCTGGACAGGTGTTGTGAGAAGCAGAGTCTGTTCTTTTGCAAGCAAACTGCTAAGACTGCCTGCCCATTTCCCAGTTCTCTTGGATGAGATAGTATGACTATCTCATTTAAGGCTCTCTAATCACTTCCTCCCTCGTTGCTGCCGAGCCAGGATTTGAATTGCAAGTTAAACGGGCACAGAGAACTCACATTCTTATTTCCAGTTATCTCAACTTTTTCTTTGGTATATTAGACTTGCAAATCTGGAGAATCATGATTTACTCAATCATTCACTGAGATATAGGTTGATTCGTTTGAGTATTTAGGGATCCTTGGTTCCAGAATAAAAGTAAAAAGTGTACAGTAATCAACCTCAACATGGGAAATAAGTCCCAAATCATTTGTTGTTTTTTAATTAAAAAATATGTGAGACACTGCTGGTCCTGAAACCAAAAGGCATTTGTACCATCACATGGCATAAACAATTAGAGAAGCAGCAGTTTTCCAAGCAAACCAATGGGTTATTTTGGATCATAACTAGGGCTATTTTACAGAAAGTCTTTTCTGGCTTCTTTATATCTTTAGTAGCCCCTTTCTACAGCCCCATTATAAGAAAGGAGACAGTATTTTAAAGGGCTATGGGCTGGTGAAAAGTCTCAGTAGGTAAAGGGATTGCCACCAGACCTGACAACCTCAGTTTGATACCTGGAAACCAAATGGTGGAAGGAGAGAGAAAATCTAGGCTCACAAGTTGTCTCCTGACTTCTATGTACCCACTGAGGCATGTGGGCATGTGGCCATATATATATGCATGAGCATGTGTCTCTCCTCTCAATCTCTCCCTCTCTCCATCCCCCCCCCCACAAATAAGCAATGTAAAGACAAAAAGGTAGGCTTCTTTACTAGGAAAAACTGAACATTGTTCTTTTTTCTCCTCCCACCCTTTTAGCATTTATTAAGTTTGAGAACTAAAATGAAACATACTTTGCCTCAGACAGCCTCATTTATAGTAAAGAGCAAAGGTGAGGGCAACCAGAAGTGGGGAACTGACGATTTTGATGTCTAAGGTATTGCTTTGAGGGGCATAGCCTTGGGGAAGACAAGCCTTTTTTGGAAGGAGGAAGGGTTCAAGAGAGGCTCCTCTCTTCCTTCCCATTATTTGTACAAGATATACATGGCAACCAGCTGCGTATTCCAAGGGTTCATCTCATGGTTTGTTCTTTTGAAATTCCAGAAAAAGGCTGGATTTGGGGGTTCCGTAACTGACTCCGTTGCCATCTTTTCTTTCCATTTGCAAATCTGCCACCCTGCATTTCCAGCTGAAAAAGAAGCAAGTGTACGTCGATAAGGTGGAGAAGATGCAGCAGGCCCTAGTGCAGCTCCAGGCAGCCTGTGAGAAACGCGAGCAGCTGGAGCACCGACTCCGGACCCGTTTGGAGAGGGAACTGGAATCCCTGAGAATCCAGCAGGTACCATGCGACTTCCTGGGGATGGCCCGAGATGATAGATCAGTGGAATGATTCTGCCCCAGTCTGTCTTCCCGAACCATGATGTTTATTAGGGTTACTTACAGAAATACTGGCGAGGGGCTACTTACAGAAGTACAGGTGACTCCAGTGCAGCTGGAAAGCTTGCTCCAGTGTGGGTGATGACTCACTACAGCTGAATCGCTAAAGATCCCTGCCCAACTTTCTGGCTGCTCTGCTAATCACTACTTTTTTTTTTTCTCTCCAGCAATTGTTACTGCTTATGTAACTCCAGGGTGTGGGGAGGGGACTTAGAATTCTTGTGTTAGGTACCTTAGCCCTGGAAATATGGTTTACTTCTTTACTCCTTGAGGCTCATAAATTCTGTTTATTCCCAAGTCTTCCTTACCAGGTATGGGATTAAGGAAAGGAAGAAAAGAAATGCCATTATTCCTGGGTGTTAATTAATTAATTAGTTTATTTATTTTACTTGGTGTTTGGCAAAAACACTAATGGCATTTAAATGCTTTCTCATCTTTACATTTTCACCATCTCCCTGTGTTAGAAGGCTTTGCCAAGATATACACAAAGCTACCTATTTCCTTAGCTTCGTCTGCCAGCAAAATCCATCATAGTATCTTACACCTTTGACTTTTCACTTGAACCAGAACAAGAGACCCTACAGGAAGTGAGATAGCTACATACCTAGATCCTTGGATGGTTTTGGATCTTGGGCAGATCTTCTGTTTTGTTTTAGTTTGAGACCAGGTCTCCTGTCATCCCAGCTGGCCTACAGCCCAGTCTGTGCAGGTATGCACTACCACGTCTAGCTGGAAGTGCTCCTTAGACATCTTCTGGTCATACTACTTATTGATTTAGAGGAGGAAAAAAATCAAGTCCCCCCTCTCCCCATAAAATATTGTACAACTCACCAAAGATCTCATAAATTAGGAACAGTTTTAGAATCAAATCATAGGTTTAATTTTTTTTCATTACCCTTGCCCTTTATTGTCAAGTGAAGGTTGCTGTTTTTTTTCATTAATCTAATTTCTTATGTTGTTTTTATTTCATTAATCTAATTTCTTAACAACATGGCAATTGATAAGGTAGATTCCTTTTCTGATCAAGGGAGGTTCATATTGCAAGTCCATGTCCTGTGGAGATCTAAATTCTCCTTCCTTGTTTTGAATCAGTATTCAAGCTCGAGGTTGGGATTAACTTAGTGATAGAACACCTTACCGGTGCTCACAGCACAGAAAGAGGAACCTCAGGTTGTTTGAAGCCTGGAAAGAAGGCTCCATGATAGAGTGCTTGCCTGGTATGTGTAAATCTAAGTTAGATCTGTACCACTATGCAAACAGGTAGACAGACGAACACAATACCTTAGGTAAACTTGTCCTTATAAAATAAAAACTCTTAAAATTGGATTTCGTAGGAGAACTTTGTCAGGGGGGTTCCTGAGTTTAAGGCCAGCCAAGGCTACAGAGTGAGATCTTATCTTAGAAAGTCTTCACTATTAAGTAAAGAGATATAAATAAGTAAATCATAAATGATGTTCAAATGGACGTTGGACACTGTGGTTGTTGTTTCACTAATTCAAAGGGTCCTGCTGTCTCCTTCCACAGCGCCAGGGCAACTCGCAGCCTGCCAATGCTTCAGAATACAATGCTGCTGCACTGATGGAGCTCCTTCGTGAAAAGGAGGAGAGAATTCTTGCCCTGGAAGCAGATATGACAAAATGGGAGCAGAAGTACTTGGAAGAGAATGTGATGAGACATTTTGCTCTGGATGCTGCTGCAACTGTGGCTGCGCAGAGGTAAGCAGTGGGTAGAAGGACCCCTAATTAAGAGGATGGGAAAACCAGGAATGGTAATTCATGCAGAGATTTCCCGGTCTTTAGTCTCCTTCCATACTCTTTCCCCAACCCCCCCCCCCCCCGCCCCAGTTTCTCTCAAATATATTTTCTTTCTTTCAATTATACAAGGACTGGATGGCTTTGAGGACAGAGGTTAAAGGACTTAAAAATGTTTACTCTATGGGCATTTTGGAATCATAGTTGAGTTGGCCTTAGTGAGCTGGAGCATTTCAGGTGGGCTTGGCTAAGTATTTGGACACGTTGCCCCTATTAGCCAGGTGTACATGCTGTTTAGTCTCAGCACCAAAGTGAAATCCCCTCCTGAGAAATTCCACTTGGAAAGCAAATGTCACTTGGGAGTAGCTGCTGCTATTTGATAGCTCTGGCTCTTCCTGGGGATGTGGCGAATATGAGTCCATCACTGCCCTTTGAGAAGGTCTATATTTGAAGACCACATTCTTTGTATTCCTGAACTCATCACATACAAGGAGTCTCATTCTGTCTGGTACCAGAGAAAAAAATGGCAAAAAAAAAATGTTATTTCTGGTTTCTTAGGTACCTTCTTTGTATATTATTTTAAAAAAATGATTAACTTTTTAGGAATCAATTGCTCTTCAATAGTTTCACTATGTTGCTAATCTTCATTACTATTAGCTGGGAAAGAAACAACCCAATTATTATCTGGTGATGGCTTAGGTTGTAATAATGGACAGAGCTTGAGCAGCATAGAGTTGAGTTTTGAAAATGGTGTAGAGTGTATTGCACCCAAACAGGCTTCCTCCAGAACGTTAATAAAATCAGCAGGGTTTTTTTTACATTCTTCCAAACATGGTACATCAGAAGAGTCCAGCACTTGCTAGACATTGGGCAGTGATCAGGGTGCGCAGTGGATCATGTGCCTGGCACGTTTTCAACCTGCTCGTGATTCTCCACGAGCACTTCTTTCTTCCTCCATGTGATCATCCTGTTTCCAGATAACCTTATGCCTTTGATGGACTGAAGCTGTCTTTGGCTTAATCTTGAGGTCTTCGTGAGCCGAAGCTTCCCTGGCTTTGTCTCCTGAGAAAAGCATGCTCAGTCAAAGCCAATGTCATAGTGGTGGCCAAGGAAACTCCAGCTGTGTCAGAAGATGGTCACAAGGCTTGGGGGCAGATTTGAAGCAGAATGTAGTGTCGGATTACCAAGTAGCTCCCAAAGAAGTGCAGCATTTGTTCAGAGCTATTTGTGAAAGACGGATGCTGAAAACCTAGTAATGGTGAGCCAGGGAGATAGATGCAGGGGAACATTGTCAGCTTTATACAGATGCCTTGGGATGATATAGCTCGTGATGGTGCAGGGCATGAGAAAATGTTTGAAGGCAGTATCTTGGGGCTGACTACAGAATGGTCTCCAGGGCAAAGTACAGGATAGCTAGAAAGATGCTTGGCAGGAGGGGTCATTATATTAAGACAGAACGCTCACTCCTACTTTCCTGTCTTGAAGGCACTATGTAGTGAGAGAATTCCTTTACAGACCTATATGCAAAATATGTTGGCTTCTATGAGTTATATTTGTTTTAAATTGAATTGCTTTATATTACTAGGTGGTAAGTGTTCAGGTAACCACTGGATTCAGCAAAATATGTATGATTATCATTTAATATTCTAAAACCCAGTCTGTTCTCAGTGTTCCTAGCTAGTAGGAACACCTTCTACCAGCAGCAAACGTTCCAAATCTGGAATGTTTATAACTCATCCAGACAACAGGAGAGAACGAGAGGGAGATTGTACTGAAAGTGCTGTGACATCAATGAGTTACACTAGATGATTCCCCCAAGTCCTTCTGTGCTGTATTTCCAAAGACAGGATCGTTCTACTTTGCTATGCAAAGTCGTTCCCTCTTCTTCATTTTTCATTCGATGACGAATTTGGGGAGAAACAGCCAGAAAACGTTATATGTTAACTTATAGGCTTTTCTATCTACCTTGCCCAAATCTCTTCGCATTCCTTCTCTATTTGTTACCCTCCCACCAACCAGCCTAAAGGTAGACATGAAGAGTCTGTCCTGTGATCACTTTCTATCGTGGAAAGCTATATATATATATTCTATGCAGTTTGTAAATGCCTGGAATACTGGCTGCATATGAAAAGTGCTCAAAATTTAATTAAGAAAGGAAAGAAGAAAAATGGGAAGGGACAAAGAAGGAAGGAAGGGAAGGAGGTGGAGAGGGGTTTTTTCTTAATGTGTAACTTATATTGACAAATTTAATTAGTAGTACATTTTGAGACACTGCCTGGTGTCTGCATATTCTATCAGCATCTCAATTTAAAATATTCTAAACTTCACAGGTCTATGACAGGTAGCTCACAGGTAAGCAACATGTGTCACAATTCAGTCACCCTATTTGAATGATGTCAATAGCAGAAATGACAGAGTATTTTTTCAGCTAAAATGTTAGTCAACACAGTAATAAATTAATCAACTTCAAGTGTATGATTTGAATTTTGGAAAATGAATACAACAGTGGAGCTTCTACCAAAATCAAAATAGGAGACACATTCTCACATGACCTTGTGTCCCTTAAACTTGATGTCTTCCTCCCTAGACAATGAGTCATCTGGTTCTTGTCATAGAATTACTAACTCCTTTCCTAGAGTATCAATATAAAAGGAGTCGTATTGTGTTTACACTTTTTGTTTTACTTCTTGTGCTCAGCATAATTATTTTGAGCCTTCCCAGTCGATGAATGTATTAATAGCCCATGCCTTTTTATTTGTGTAATGTGCCGTGCAATGGATATAGCATAGATTATTTATCCATCCACCTGATGATGGCTATTTGGATTATTTCCAATTGGGGACCTGTAGTTATAATGAAATGCAAATTGTAATGTAAGAGTAAAAAGAATTTATTTTCTTGGGTTGGAAAGCATACTAGGGTGATCTGTTTATACCCCTTATAGTACTTTGATTCTGACTAACCTTTTGTCAAGGGGAAATTGTTGAAAACTGAAAATAGTGGACTAGAAGTGTCCAGGAGTAGATGGTGATCCTGAGCAGTAGTGTACATAGGTAAATGTATTCAGTGAAAAGGAAGGAAAGAGGGGGAGAAAGAAAGGCTCATGGCTTCTCTAGAAAGGTAATTTAATTTTTTCTTATTTAAAATAAGTACCTAAGGTGGTGGCAGCACAACACCAGTACACAAGAGGGCCAGGGAGAAAGTCTATGAGTTCACAGCCAGCCTAGGCTTTACAAGACAATGTATAAAATAAAATAGGTTTTTACATTTAATAATTTTTTATCCAAAGGATATTAGAAAATATCTTTTATTGGTCAAAAATAGGCAGTGCTCTTCTGAGGACTTTAAATTTGTTGCTTCTCCTTAGGTGCTATCATGCGTTCTTTTCTCAGGCCCAGAGGAATTATAGCATCTCTATATCTAAACAAAAGGGCACAAAAGTCAGGATTTAAATCAACATTTTCTCACTTTACCGGTCTCTGAGATGTGGGGAACTCGGTATCATTAGCTGTTCAATAAAGAAAGTATTAATTGAGGCTATTACCGAGGCACCTGGAAGCATTATGAATAATTGCACCATTATTCCCTGCCTCGGAGTTAATGTGTCTCTAGAGAATCTAGGTGCTTAATATGATAAATGGAAATCCCTACCAAGAAGTTCTTGTGCATTCCCTGAAGACCAGATTTGGCAATACAGATTTTGAGTTCAAGCTCATAAATGGTGAATTTATGCCTGAAGAGCAGCAAAAAAAAAAGATAATACGATAACAACCCATCAACCATGAATTATCCTGTTATGTTGGATTTACTGAATTGGGTTATTAACTGTACTTGGAATATTCAGAAAAGGAGGAAGTAAAGAGAGCTCAGGAAGAAGACATACTACACATGGCTTTTCTCAGCTTCTATATTTTGCTTCTCAGTCTGTATTCTGTTATAGTTAGCTGGTTTTCTACCATGACTTCTCTGAAATAAGAAAAATGATGTAATAGTTGTTCTGACATCTCTGAAATTAAATTGAAAATCTTCAGTAACTTACTGGATCTTGTCTTATGGCCATTCTCAAGGCAAATGCACATCAATAGCTCTGAAATCTAAAGTCATCAACACTTTCCAAAAACTCTCTTTGTTTTCCTATGACAACCAACAGTAGTCCATGATTTGAATTACAAATGTAATTCTCATTTATTCTTTCATCTCCGTAATGCTATCTCATTGACATGGTCTCCCAAGTTCAATCACATCCACCTCCTACAGACTGTTCCTATTTCCCCTTCTATGTTATGGTTTGTGTTTTCATTATCGCCTGATGGGATTACTTCAATCACCTTCCTTACTGGTCTCTTGATTCAAGTACCTCTCTCTTCTGGTCCAACCATCACATTTCCGCAACAGACAATACTATTGTCCTAAAGCCTAGCACAGGTCCTTTCCTTCTCCAGAAAAAGCTCTAGCAATTTTCAGTGCCTATTAGACTAAAGTCCAAACTCATTCCTGTAGTGGTTAATTATTTATCTTTTGTCTTCCCTTGCAAGTTTCCTGCAGCCAGGGACTAATCATTTCCACATGTTTCTCTTCTCTGGCCTCCCACAATGTTCCACTTATGGTAACATTCTTTTATTAAATAAGCAGCAGAATACTACCCAGAGGAAAATACGAAGCATATTTATTGATTTATTTTTTAAAAATAATTTTTGTATTTACTGAATTTTTAAAATTTCTATTTTTTATAAAAAGAAAACAAGCTATCTTTTCTCATTTTACATACCAATTCCAGTTCCCACTCTCTCCCCTCCTCCAATCTCCACCTACCCCCTTACCCCACCCCCATCCACTCCTCAGAGAGGGTAAGGCACATTGCTTTGGGGAAGGTCCAAGGCGCTCCCTACTATAACTAGGCTGAGCAAGTTATCCATCCAAAGAGAATAGGTTTCCAAAAGGTCAGTACAAGCAGTAGGGGTAAATCCTGATGCCACTTCCAGTGGCCCTGCAGTCTGTCCCAGCCATACAACTGTCACCCACATTCAGATGGACTAGTTTAGACCAATGCTTGGACCTGTGTCGGTTCTTTACCTGTCTGGCTGGAGTTTGTGAGATCCAGTTAGCTCAGGCAGACTGTTTCAGTGGGTGTCCCCATCAGGATCTTGACCTTTTGCTCATATTCTCACTCCTTCCACTCTTCACCTGGACGTTGGGAGCTCAGCCCAGTGCTCTGCTGCGGGTCTCTGCCTCTGTTTCCATCAGTTCCTGGATGAAGATTCTATGGTGATATTTAAGATATTAATCAGTCTGACTACAGAGCAAGGCCAATTTGGGCACCATCTCCTCTATTGCTTAGGGTCTTATCTGGGGTATCCTTGTGAATTCCTGGGAATTTCTCTAGTGCCAGGGTTCTTGCTAGCCTCATAATAGCTCCCTTAATCAAAATATCTTTTTCCTTGCTCTCATCTCTGTCCTTCCCCCATGTCAACTATCCTGTTCCCTCAAGTTCTTCTCTACCCTCCCCTTCCTCTTCTGCCCTCCCTTCTCCCCCACCCCATATTCCCAATTTTGTCAGACGATCTCATCTATTTCCCATTTTCAGGTGGATCCATTTTTTTCCCTTAGGGTTTACTTTGTTATTTAGCTTCTCTAGGATCATGAACTATAGGCTCAATATCCTTTACTTTATAGCTAGTGTCTGATTTTAAGAAACTATTTTTGATCTTTTGAGATGGGGGTCTCACTATGTGACCTTGCCTGGCCTAAAACTTGTTATATAGAGCTGGTCTTGGAGTGATCTCTTTGCCTCAGCATCCCAAAGGGCTAGGATTATAGGTATGAATCATCATACTTGAAGTTTAAATGTCCACTAAGTATTTTAAATAGGACCGGGCTGTGGTGGCCCACACCTTTAATACTAGTACTCAGGAGACAGAGGTGGGTGGATTGCTGTCCTCTACAGAGCGACTTCCAGAACAGCAGAGGCTACACATAGAGAAACCCTATCTTGGAAAAAAAAAGTATTTTAATTAGGAAATCATGAGTGACAATCTCAAAAGTACTAAAGTTTGGATTATGATATGAGAGAAAAGAAGAAGAGAGATAATTTGGGGGATATTGACAAACATCCTTTTATTTGAGACTTTGAGATGATGGTATATCTGGTTCTGATGCCTGTGTTGTGCATACTGTTTTCATACTGCAGTAAGTATCTTCTGATATTCTGGAGGGCAATCGGAGAGTACTGGAAGTTGTTCCTTCAAACGCTGTGCTAGGTTGCATTTGCAGAGCCATTGGCTTCATAGCTCTGGTCTTTTACAAGGAAGATTGATGCTGCGGGCTGTACTGGCAGCCCTGTCGGAATTCACTAAGTGCCCCACATTTTCAGGCTCCATTCCTGAGGAGTTCACAGTGTCCATATCAATTAGCCAGCCAGTCTCTGTGTACCCAAACTGGTCTTTTATGCAATGAAAGTGGCAGTAAGCCAGCACTATTTCCCCCAGTGACAAACTGGACGTTCAAGCCCCCAGTGTCTGTAGACACCACACACTTTTCAGGAGGCTTGGCTCTAAAGTGTTAGCCTTCAGTTTCCCTTGGCACTCTGTTAGGTCAGGAATGGGCTCCAGGATTACACCAAGGGGTAGAATGGCTTAAAGTCACAATACCCACTTTTTCTTATTCTCTTTCTACTTCTGCTCTTCTCAATATTAAAAAAAAAACATTGTTGAGTACATTTATTGTGCCTGATGGTATATGTTTTTACCTGAATACTTTTGTTTTACATGAAGTAGAAGGAAATGTCATTTCTGTTGCCTTTTTGCATATGAGGAAGAATAAGCAAAAAATATGTAACTGACTTTTGGAGATCCGAAAGTTTGTTAGTGGCAGAGTATTTGCGGAAGTTTAGATGTGATCCTAGGCCTGTCTATAGTAAAAGCCTTGATATCAAGTACGTAGTGCTGGTTTCTCTCAGACAATCCAGTGAGATTGTGAACAAGTGAATTGCACTGAAGGAATATAGAATTTGGGGATGTTAAAATAGCTTGAATTTGCCAAATGATGAGAGCAACTGTATCTCTCCTTCTTGCCAATTCCAGTGAATGGTGTCAACTCTGCAAGTGAGCTCTAGGCTTTGGGACAGCAGTGGCTTTTGCAGAGGCCTCCCGAACTTCCCCAAGCTGGACGTTAACTTACTACCTATTGACTCCTCTGTTATTATATTGTACCCAACATGTACTCGTCATAATCTTAATGCCAAGAAAATATAGCTATCTAGCTTCCAGCAGATAATATACCTAAGATATGGGAGGAGTACGGTGAAGCAGGGCCAGTTCATCATTCTTCAGTCTATTGTCCCGATGTCCTGTTAATCTTTGTAATCCCATATGTCTTCCCTCAATCATAATACCCATCTCTTTACCTTAGTCCTCATCTCTAGTTCTCTGTCCTATGTCTCTCTTCCCCTCCCCATCTCTTCCTCTGCCATTCTCTCCTATGCACACATGTTTCTTCTCAATAATAGTCTATGAATTAATGGAATGAGACAATTTCAGGTGGAACCTGATGACCCCTTGCCCAGCTGTGGCTCTGGCAAGAGGACAGTTGCTTAGTTGGTAGAAGTTCATGCATTCCATGATAGAATAGTTCCGATGTAGATTAGATAAAGAACCAAATAGCACCGAATCAAAGGCCCCGTTTGTTAGTTCCTGTGCCCAAACTGTGTCTGTTGTTTCTTACCCCTATATGTAAATGCTACTCAACTGTCACAAATGCTCCCCAACAACCCCCCAATTTCTTCCAAAGTTTAACTTTTCCACTCTGTGACTGTTAGGAGAATAGTGGAAAGTGTGCTGATTCCTCTTGCTCTTTGGGGACCTAAAATGCTGAATGAGACGGCTGCTAGAAAATTGGGGGAAACGTGCTTATCCAGTTCCATATAGCCAGTGTATACATATTTAACCAAACCCCCACTTCGGCAGCCATGTCCATGCCAGTGTCTGCTAGCGTGAAATCTTTCTTGCTGAAAGCTGCTTCCAGTAAGTCCCTCAGAAACCAACCGTTCCTATTGAGAGTCAGTTCAGTTTAAAGCCTTTCAGCAAAACGTCCACTGACTTAGGATAGAGAATGACATCTATTCATTCTGAGGCCTGTTCATCATCATCACTGCCCATTTTCCTCCACAGAGACACAATGGTCATTAGCCACTCTCCTAACACCAGCTATGACACAGCCTTAGAGGCCCGCATCCAGAAGGAAGAGGAAGAAATCCTGATGGCCAATAAGCGTTGCATGGACATGGAAGGAAGGTAAAATCTGGATGTGGACCCAGATGGATTGAGAAGTTGAAGTTGAGACCAGCTAGATCAATAGAGAAGGACAAGAAAGTTTATTCATAAGTGATGAACTAGATTGTGTTGTCCCCTCCCCCTTTCACTCCTGCTAATCGATTACCTAAGGTTTGATGTGATGGCCATTATAATGAACATTCAATTATGCAATTCCAAGTAGGATTGCTTTCCCCTGGATTTTGTAATTGTTTTCATTTGCATTCTGCTAGATCTGATTTTTGACATTCCTACTCTGAGGTGTTCTTCATAACACTACAGCTCAATTCTATAATAGAGCCGATTTCTCAACAAAACATCTGTTCACACTGAGAGAAATTCAGCATCCAGTGACTTTTTTAGTGTCATTTACATTTTACCTGAAGATCATGTATTATTAGTAGAATGCTCCATTTTCTCACTGAATGTACTGTTAGTATGGAAGAGCTCCTTCAGCAAAGAGCAACATCATAGATCTATAGCCTTTCTGTTTGCTGATATTTGACTTTGGTTTTCTGATGTGCAGCAGAAGTTCTTATATGTTCTCTTGCATCTCCTTAGCCATCCATGGAATGTGTTATTTTTGTCTTTAAAGCGCTAATGTCCTGACCCTTCCTTCCAACTCCGACAACACTTAGTAGAAAAGATGATAGGTATGCAAATCCACTTAGGCAGTGAGATCAGAGCACAGAGGTAGCAACCGTGTTTCTGTATGTACTTTCTCTCGCCTTTCAGGATTAAGACGCTCCATGCCCAGATTATTGAAAAGGATGCTATGATCAAAGTGCTGCAGCAGCGCTCCAGGAAAGAGCCAAGTAAGACAGAGCAGCTGTCGTCCATGAGGCCAGCAAAGTCTCTGATGTCCATCTCCAATGCTGGATCAGGCCTGCTTGCCCACTCCTCTACCCTGACTGGTACTCCCATCATGGAGGAGAAGCGAGATGATAAAAACTGGAAGGGGAGCCTAGGTAATGAAAATGAAAGCAAACAGGGAAGTGCACAGTGATGTACTTAGAAAGTGCCTCGCCTGTGCTACACACAGCAAGGGGAAGAGACAATGGTTCAGGTTCTAGAGAGAAGAATTCAGGGTTACTTTTGCCCCTGATAGAACAAGCTACATGCCCAGGAACTCTGAAGTCTCTTGCCGAGAATATTAACTGAGGCCAAAGCCTGAAAAGAAAAATGAGGATCCTGAGTTCCTTGCAGATGGGAAGGAAGACAACTTGAATTTTATGTAAAAAAGAAAAAATTCAGATTTGGCTTTTGCCACATGGCAACTTTGTTCAAAACTGAAATGGCTTTCATCTCAGGCAAAATTCAAAATTACAGCATTGCTGTGTTCCTTCCTTTCTTACAGAAAGGGGACCCAAAGTTCTCTTTAAGCTAATGGGGTCAGGTGGCAGCTTTTGTTAACGGACTGTTCCAACATGAGAATAGAATGTGCTTTTATGTTCAATTCCTGTCTGTTTCATCCCCTCTAATTAAAGCCTCGGAGTCCCATAGATACTGAGACATTTTTTTTTGACCCCGAAGAAGCAAACAAATATATATCTCAAATCTTTTGTTGTTTTTATTGCCTTTTCTGGTTCTCTGACTCTTGCAGTATCCTTTAGTTTGAGTAAGCATTCTGGGAGCCATTGTCATGGTTGGCACTGTAGTTTACACAATGAAAAGCACCCTCGTGGGTATCCGTACACATTCCCCATATTCCTGGGTTATTTTCAGCTCTCTGGTAATATGGGGCATTAATATTACTGGAAGAGAATGGAACTCTGATGAGTTGCTCTGCCACAATCACCAATGGGGAGAAAATTGATCAGCTACCAAGGACACACACAGGTTTAATATGTTGTGTTGAGACTTTGATGACGAAGACAAGAAGGGATCCTCTAAGTCCAAAACCAACCTTTAGTTATGGTGGGAAATGTAGCATCCCAGAGGTTCACAAGAAGTAAAAACAAATAGTTTTCAAAGAAAAATGTCATATATTTTCTTTTCCTGAACTCCGACAAGGGTGAATAGTTAATCCGTGTCTGGATAGGAATCACCTACTTTTCTCTGGTCCCTCGCTTCATCTGTAGGCATTCTTCTGGGTGGAGACTATCGTGCTGAGTCTGTCCCATCCACACCTTCACCTGTGCCTCCTTCGACTCCCCTGCTCTCGGCTCACTCGAAGACAGGCAGTCGCGACTGCAGCACCCAAACAGAACGTGGATCTGAACCAACCAAAACCGCAGCTGTTACTCCCATCTCTGTTCCGGTTGCTGTTCCAGTTGCTGCTGCTGCCGCCCCTGCTGCTGCCATCACTGCAAGTGCTGCCACCAACACTGCCACAGCTGCCACCAACACCACTATCATGGTAGCTGCTGCTCCAGTTGCTGTTGCTGCTGCTGCTGCTCCAGCTGCTGCTGTTGCCACTGCCCCATCTCCAGCAAATGCTGCTGCTCTTGCTGCTGCTGCCTCTCCAGCTGCACCTGTTTCTCCAGCCGCTCCTGTCTCTCCGGCTGCTCCTGTCTCTCCAGCTGTTGCTGCTCAGATTCCAGCTGCTTCATCTCTTACTTCTGCTACTGTTTCTCCCGCTCCTTCTGCTGCTACTGTCGCTACTGCAGCTACTGCAGCAGCAGCTGTTGCTGCTGCTGCTGCTACTGCTGTTCAGGTTGCTCCAGCTGCTTCGGCTCCGGTTCCAGCTCCCGCTCCGATTCCGGCTCCAGCAACGCCTCAGGCTTCTGCTCCGACTCCGACTCAGGCATCAACTCCAGCTCCGACTGCAGTTCCTACTCCAGCTCCGACTCCAACTCCAGCTTTGGTTCAGGCTGAGGGTCCTGCAAGTCCAGGTACCAGCTGTGGACCACGCCGATTGTCCACACCAAATCTGATGTGCAACCCAGACAAGCCAGGTAATTCCAATTTATCTTCTGGTTTTGTTCTCAGATGTAGATCTATTAGTTGGTGCCTGCCATTTTGACAGAGTTGAATGTTTCATGATCTAATGGGGGTTGGTCAGAGAAGAGACAAAAAGAGCTTCTGGAAATGCTTTCTCTCATTCATTAAAATAAAAATGGTCACGAGTGGCCATTTTACCAGTAAAGTAAATGATGCCGGTGTACCTAGTGGCAAGTCACACTTAGAAATTTGTTTTGTGATGGTTCTTTGCGTTGTTCGGTGAAAGCTCTTCTTTTTTTTTTTTTTTTTCGTTGTCTCTAATTATTTTCTACCCTCTCATTTCCATTTAGATGGGCCTGTTTTCCACTCCAGCACTCTGGAAAGAAAAGCACCCATTCAGATCCTGAGTCAAGAACCTGATGCAGAGATGGTGGAATATCTCATCTAAACAGCATACTCAAGAGCTGAAGTTATCAGCAAGAGTTCTTTTAATCGTTTTTCCCTTTTGTTTGTTTAATCTGGGGTGATGATGGGGTTGGGAGGTGGGGATGATTTTTTAAAGGGACTTTTTATTGGACTCTTGTAGTACTTAATACCATGAGAATTCCATAGGGAGTACCTCAAGATGATAGGTTAAGCAGAATGTGCTCTAGAACTAATTGCTGGCATTGATCTAAATCATGGACTCTTAACTGGTAGCAATGTCCATTGATTTCAGATGCTTCAATTTGTTTTGACATTTCCCAATTTGAGGTCATTTTTCATTGAAGAATACAGCATGTGTGGAAGGCAGTTTGTAACACGTAGTTCAGAAGTGGAAATCTGGAGAGAATTTGAAGATTTGCTGCTTTGTCTAGTGACTACCTAGACAACAGCCAAAGAAAGGTCTTTCTTTAAGCTGAGAAAAGAAAGTGTTTTAGGAGCTTTGGAAGCTGGAGAAAAGGAAGAGAGTATTGGGGTTAAGAAGGGAACTGGACCAATTTTCTCTCCCAGTTGCCAGTTACCCTGCCCCTTCATACTGATGGTATTTATCTTCATTTCAATGGTGCTTTGGAAGTGGATTCTTTTGGTTCCCTCCTGGAGGTTCATCCATTCATATATATACTCTGGAATAATTTATGCATTTGGATAATTAATATATTGCTTTCAGATGGTAGGAGAGTAAATGAACAGAGTGATGCATGACTTCCTCTCTCATGGGGGGTCTGATGTTAGCAGCTTCAAAGGAGGGCATCATGAGATGCTGCATGCAGACTTTTGTGGTCAAGATATAGTCATGAACATGGCTCCGTCACCTTAAATTTGACCAGTTGACTGACGTAGCCTTTATTTCTTCCACAAGGCAGATTCACTGACTGGTTCCCCAGTCTTTGTTTGCCAATACTTTACAAAATGAGGAAACATCTTTTTTGGACAGGTTGAATGTGTTGAATTTCTGGCTAATACTTTGAACTATTTCAGTTTTGTTTTTCCAAATTAGCATGTGTCTTCAAAGGCACATGCAACTGTCACCTCCATGGAAATAACGTAAGAAGTCCAAAGTGCCGGGCTGCAGTCAGGAGAGAGGTTGATTGCAGCAATCTCCTCAACTACCTCTTCTTACTGCCTGTGACTCCATCTTGGAAACCCCTTGGGAAGCAGCTGGGAATGTATACATGGGCGGGACCAAACAGGGAGCCTTATCATAGGGCTGCCTCTAAGGACACAGAAGGTGTCAGTTGCCGCAGGTCCTTGTCCTTAGTCTCTGCCCTTCATAAGGTGATATAACTTCAGATAGTATCATTAAGGTCTGTTTTCAGGGGTATAGGGAGGGTAAGGGGAGGGGGACTATTAAGTATAAGGGGTAGAGGTTTAGTGATATGTTAAGTTAGAAATCAGATTGATAGAAGGGTAGTCTATATATTATGCCATGGACTTTAGTGATGGGAAGGAACTTTATCTAGCAATGTAGCTCTACATTCTAACTTTAGTGATGAGGAATCTGAGACTTGGAGAAGTTCAGTGACTTTTTCAAGATCACACAGTATATCTGTCTGCTCTGCCAATTACATGCCTATTTTGGGAAATGATTATCTATTAAAAAAGAGCCTGTTTTGAAGAAAAGGCATATTCCTAGTCTAGGGTATGCCTACTTTATGAAAATCTTCTTGGTTTGACTAGATTGTTTGGGGTGATTTCTCGTCTTGTCTCTGCTGGAGTGCCTTGTATGGAACTGTTCTTTTTCTCATCCCATTTCATCATTGAGCTACATGAAATGCATCCCTAAGACATCAACTCAACTGTTTTTCCTTATAAAATCATGTGTTTGGGGTCATTTTATGTATTGCTCTGTGAGTATAAGATTGCTCTATTTACCTGTATTCTTGTGTGGTTCCTAATTACCTTCCAAAGGATTTATTTGTGTGTGTGTGTGTGTGTGTGTGTGTGTGTGTGTGTGTGTGTATGTGTGAAGGAAATGCAACAACTATTAACTAGTTTTTCACATTATTAATAACGAAATGGTCATCCAGTCCATCAGTCCTCAGTTAAAGAGTGAAGGCCAAATAGAAACATGAAAGTGCAGTCCTGTGAATAATGCTCATTCACACCATTTTTCTGTTGCAAGGGGAAAAAACTTGAGACAGTAGAAGAATCAGGCAGCAAGCACGAGGAAAACGACTTTCTGCCCAAGCTAATGAATGAAAATAAAAAACTTTTCATGTCCTCTCCTGATGACAACACATTGCTAGAATTTGGGCTGACTCTGGGAGCCATGATTCCAGTCATATTCTGTGAAGTGACAGATATGGTACCTTCTTCACTGTATGACAGCTATCTCTTTAAAATCATGTGTTTGGGGAAAGAAGGAAGTCCTTGCAGAAGTACTATTTGGAACTTTCCAGAACCTTTCTGGCCTACCACACTAGAGGCAGTCCTGCTCAGTATTCAGGCCCAGGCGATTTGCTAGAAGGACAGTGTACGTCTAAGAAACGGAAGAAAACTGTGTTGGTATAGTCTGTTTATGGACCATACAGGCTCCACCTCTTGAGAAAATTTCTACTAGGTATCAGTTTAAAAATTCAGTTATATGGGAAAATCTCAAATTAGCCACCTCTTCCCATTTATGTGGATGTAGCATTTGGAGCCTCTTCTTCGACTTGCTCCTATTTACAGTAAAATGTATGCATTTTCCTGGCACCCTAGAAGAAGAGGGGGCATTTGTTGTCTTAACTTTTACTGTCTGGTGGTCTATGAGGATCTTATTATTCATTTGTTACCTGCAATGTCCCATGTCCAGCAGAATTTCATTTGATTGAACTATACTTGATACAAAACTGTTAACATTGTTGAGGAAGTAAACTCAGCTTGAACTTCCTTTGAAAGTCATGTATTGTGACTGTTGTCTTAATGTAGGTTTTCATTTCAGTGTTGCCTTTGAGCTGCAGGGTGACGGGGCGGTAGAAACTTGAAGCATCTGCCATGATCTGTGACAGGAAATATAGCAAGATACCTGTCCTGTTCTCTTCTTCCTTTTGCACTGTTCAGTGGCTCTGACAAACTGATTCCCAAGCTACTTTTTATGAAGAATCTAAATAATGTGGCGTCTTAAAGTATACATGTATGTGCTAACTTTAATAAATGCTCATGTCTGTTAGCCGTACAATCTATTGTCTTAAATGCTCATTTATACATGGAATATGTTACAGAAAAATGTGTTTCTTTTTCCAAGGAAATACTTTCAAAGGGAGGTATTGGCTGTGAGTTCATTGTTACCAATTTTTGCCTGCCGCAATCTTTAGAAACTCTTCTTTCAAGTGCCACCATTGACAGTAGGAGAAAGGTTGGAAACATGGACATTTTCTTCTGGTAGCAAGGGCAGGTTACACGAAGCGTTCAAACCTCCTTCTGACCTACTTTGTTATCAATGGCATGTGTTTAATAAAATGGCTAGATGGGGTTGGCAGATGGTTTGATAAGAATTACTTTTGATTTAATATATGTGGTCTCATAGTGGTTGTGATTCTTTTCTGTAATCATGAGAGGTAGATCAAATAAAGTTAAGCAGGTTAAATCCACTTTGTGCCTATCTTTTCACTGACAATAAAGTTAGCTGTTTGAAAATGAAGCACTGTGTGGAAAATGCTTTGGTGTTTACTGGATATAGGCTTTATGTGCTTAATAATTACTTTCAATTCAGTACACAGTGAAATTGTCTTGCACCAGCAACAGAATTTGCATTTGTGCAATGAATAGGAAGTGATTAAAAAGTCTCCAGATAACATATCAGGCAGCGTGTGCTGGTCAGTCTTTTTATTTACAAATACAATATATAGTAAAAAAGTTTTGTACCTTTTTGTTTCCTGGTTCTGGGGGATAAAATGATGACAATCCAAAGCCAATAATTATTTGGAGGTTAGCATTTTGGAAACACCATATGCACACACTTTGGGATTCCTTTTGTAGCAATAGTAGTTGTGCCAATTCAACCATTTTGGTTGAGAAAGCTTGTTATAAAGGCAAATAACACCCATGCACATACTGTCGACACTGAGAGGAGTCAGTGGGTTTAAACAAGAGCATATTAAACAGGGAGGGAAAAGTGGTGGGGCAGTATGGGGCATATTGGAAAGGAGGGAGTGAAGGGGGATTTGATGAAAACACCTAGTCATATATGTGTTTAAATAGTAAAAACAAATCAATAAGGGCAAAAGCCACATCAGTTGGGTCATCACTAAAAATAATAAGCCGCCCTTATACAGTCTTCTGTGTTTCATGTTTAGTAGTGAGTTTGGAACCTAACTGCAGAAGAAAGGATCCACAAGTACTTTGAAGTGACCTGTTTTTGTTGATGTTACAAATGAGATGGATCAGGGACACAGAATTTATAAACCTCTAAATATTACTTGGCACTTGATTCCCCTCCATATTTATGATGAGTTAGTTGACAACTATGGATGGAAACAGGCCACTCTTTTTCAGCACAAAACAAAAAGATGGTAATAAAAGGATCTTATGAAGCTTTGGCAACCAGAGCTTTCAGAAATATCTCCTTACTGGTTTTTAAATGGTTGTCTATTCAAAAGCCCATTTAAAACATATGATATCACATATGTAGGAGCATTTCTAGGTAGTATTTGATGTATCAATTTGATGTCTACCTGTTTTTCACACCCTTTGGCATTACCTCCTGAGAACAGAAATCCCTTTTCCCACCTCTCCTGCTGCCATCTTCCTCTGCAAGAAGTTTGGTTTATTTGCTCATACGTTTGTTCGCTTGCTTTGGAAAAAAATTAATGCAAATTCTTTGATCTTAGAACATTTTATTTTTTTTCCATTTGTTTATTGAGAAAAGGAGAAAAAAACAAGTTTCCACCTCCTCCCAGCCTCCCATTTCCCTCCCCCTCCTCCCACCCTTCTCCCCCTCTCCCCACTCCTCTCCCCATCCCTCTCCAGTCCAAAGAGCAGTCAGGGTTCCCTGCCCTGTGGTAAGTCCTAGGTCCTCCCCTCTCCATCCATTTCTAGGAAGGTGAACATCCAAACTGGCTAGGCTCCCACAAAGCCAGCACATTACGTAGGTTCAAAACCCTGTGCCATTGTCCTTGGCTTCTCATCAGCCCTCATTGTTCGCCATGCTCAGAGAGTCCAGTTTTATCCCATGCTTTTTCAGTCACAGTCCAGCTGGCCTTGGTGAGCTCCCAATAGATCAGCTCCACTGTCTCAATGGGTGGGTGCACCCCTCGTGGTCCCGACTTCTTTGCTCATGTTCTCCCTCCATCTGCTCCTCATTGGGACCTTGGGAGCTCAGTCCAGTGCTCCAGTATGGGTCTCTGTCTCTATCTCCATCCATCACCAGATGAAGGTTCTATGATATGCAAAATATTCGTCAGTATTGCTATAGGATAGGGTCATTTCAGGTTCCCTATCCTCAGCTGCCCAAGGAACTAACTGGGGACCTTGGCTTGGCCATCTGGGAGCCACTCTAGGTTCAAGTCTCTTGCCAACTCTAAGGTGGCTCCCTTAACTAAGAATTGTGCTTCCGTGCTCCCCTATCCAACCTTCCTTTATCCCCATCCTCCTTTTTCCCCAAGTTCCCCCCATTCTCCCCTTCTCCCTTTACTCTCCCCATCTCCCCTTACCACCATCCCACCCCACCCCCAAGATCTCAATTTTCTCCCCGGCCATTTTGTCTACTTCCCATAGCCAATAGGACAACTATATGTTTTTCCTTTGGTTCACCTTCTTACTTAGCTTCTTTGGGATCACCAATTGTAGACTCCGTGACCCTTGTTTATGGCTAGAAACCAATTATGAGTGAGTACATCCCATATTCATCTTTTTGGGTCTGGGTTACCTCACTCAGGATAGTGTTTTCTATTTCCATCCATTTGCATGCAAAATTTGAGAAGTCATTGTTTTTTACCGCAGCCTAGTACTCTAGTGTGTATATATTCCATACTTTCTTCATCCATTCTTCCTTTGAAGGGCATCTCGGTTGTTTCCAGGTTCTGGCTATTACAAATAATACTGCTATGAACATAGTTGAACAAATGTTCTTGTCATATGATCGGGCATCTCTTGGGTATATTCCCAGGAGTGGTATTGCTGGGTCCAGGGGTAGGTTGATCCCGAATTTCCTGAGAAACCGAAACACCGATTTCCAAAGTGGTTGCACAAGATTGCATTCCCACCAGCAATGGATGAGGGTACCCCTTCCTCCACAGCCTCTCCAGCAAAGGCTATCATTGGAGTTTTTTATTTTAGCCATTCTGACAGGTGTAAGATGATATCTCAAAGTTGTTTTGATTTGCATTTCCCTGATCGCTAAGGAGGTTGAGCATGACCTTAAGTGTCTTTTGGCCATTTGAACTTCCTCTGCTGAGAATTCTCTGTTCAGTTCAGTGCCCCATTTTTTAATTGGGTTAATTAGCATTTTAAAGTCTAGTTTCCTGAGTTCTCTATATATTTTGGAGATCAGACCTTTGTCTGTTGCGGGGTTGGTGAAGATCTTCTCCCAGTCAGTAGGTTGCCTTTTTGTCTTGGTGACAGTGTCCTTTGCTTTACAGAAGCTTCTCAGTTTTAGTAGGTCCCATTTATTCAATGTTGCCCTTAAAGTCTGTGCTGTTGGGGTTACACATAGGAAGCGATCTCCTGTGCCCATCTCCTGTAGGGTACTTCCCACTTTCTCTTCTATCAGGTTCAGTGTGTTCGGGCTGATATTGAGGTCTTTAATCCATTTGGACTTGAGTTTTGTGCATGGTGATAGATATGGGTCTATTTTCATTCTTCTACAGGTTGACATCCAGTTATGCCAGTAATATTTGTTAAAGATGCTTTCTTTCTTCCATTGTATACTTTTGGCTCCTTTATCAAAAATGAGATGTTCATAGGTTTGTGGGTTGAAATTCAGGTCTTCTATACGATTCCATTGGTCGTCTTCTCTGTTTTTATGCCAGTACCACACTGTTTTCATCACTGTAGCTCTGTAATAGAGTTTGAAGTCAGGGATGGTAATGCCATTACCATCCCTGACCTCAAACTCTATTATAGAACATTTTATGCATGGATTGGTAATCACCTGGTATTTGAGGGGAGCATCCTCAATGATAGGACCTACTCAGTACCTCCTCCAGAAAATGTTCCTTTCAACTTCAGCATTGCATATCACATTACCAAGTATGCACTCTTAGATACACCAAATGACCAAAAGCATCGATTGTGCTACCCATGTATTGCCATTTACCAGTTACTTCTAAATTAAGTACATGTAATTTCCTGAGTACATACTTTCGTGATGTTGGCATTTTTGAAAAAAAAAACTAGAATAGACAATTTTAAGTCCATGATTCTAGGAAATTAAGGAAATGACACACACACACACACACACACACACACACACACACACACACAAGCACACAGTTAAAATTCATTCATTGTGTCAAAATTCCTAGTGTAAAGGAAGGGATGGTTATTGGGACAACTTGAGGGAAACTAGGCATTAACCAGACAGCAGGGAAGTCTAGAAAACATTCCAGGCGAGAGGATCAGTGTGAGCAAAAAGATGTCAGGTGGCTGTTTCTAAAGACAAAGGTCTTAGAAAATTGCTCTGACTATTGAACATCTGTGTGAAAAAACTTCAAATTCCAGTTAGGTGGTAGACAGTACTAGTGTGGAAGTCAACAGAGCACTGTGCCAATAAACAGATATTTACCCATGGATATACATTTTTTTGATAGGATAAGAAGAGCCTATCGGTAAAATGGGAATAAATAATTAGTTCCAATTAGTTCCTCTGTACCTTATGAGAAAATGGTATGAGAGCCACTCAAAGGGAGAAGCAATAGATGTGGGAAGTAGAGAGAGTCATGAGTGTGAGATCCTGTGTCAGTATGCATTTTTGGCATGGGTATGGCCATGTCAAGGACCCTAGCCTCGGACCCAGAGGGAAATGAAAAATCTTTCCCTTCTGGTCCATGTGCAGATATTGAGAGTGTGTGCAGAAAATGTCCACCATAGCCACCAGATGTAATTGTCCAATGACTGCTACCCTATGTAGGGGACTTACTTACTGAGATTAGGTAAGTCATCAAACTTCATCAAATTGTATAGCATAAACCCTGCTTTCTTTTTTTCTGTATGTAATAACCCTCCTTGATGTTTAGCCAGATGCAATAATTCTTCTCTGTTTGACTCTACTTAATTAGGGTTCTGTGCTTTCTCAAGCAGAGAGCCCAGCTGCTGACAGATTTCTGTCTGGTATGTCTGTGTGTTTGTCTTTTTCTCATTCCTTTTCCACCCCATTTGGGTCTGTCCCTGAAGCTGTACTAGATGTGGCAGTAAATATATGAAGAAGTGATTTCTTTGACTTTTATTTAAGAAAAATCCAGTGCAAAAATAGAATAGCCAGGGCACTCGTGGTGGGGGGAATGCATTACTGGGCACTAATGATTATAAACACAAGGCCAGTCTTAATTCACAAATGGCCCTTATTCACCTACTTTGCATTTATTACCTTTGAAACACATCCCACACACCATAGTACTTTTCCATAAATAAAACTCATAAATAAGAAATTTTAGCAATAAAAATAAAATTAATTAATAAACTCCCCACCTTCTAC